GAACTGCAGTCAGTTGAAGTAGCCTGCAGTGCTGCATTTAACCACTGCGCCACCTCGGCCCTGAACAAGGGATAAACAATGTGCATGGAAGCTCTTGGCTAGCTTCTTAAATTCTGGTTATAGGTTTCCATTCAAACGGGAAGCACATATCCATTAGAGGTTTAGCAGTTTTCTTTCTTGATTTTGTAGTAGTATTTCTTCTTACAATGCCTTCACTACTGTACTACTTGCTTGGTAGCTTATAGGGAACTTAACACTTCTTGCTGTCTCTGAAGGGCAATCTGGTGGAAAACCATTGGGCTACCTTGGCCACTGTGATACAAGATGGGCCAGGGATCTGATCCAGCAGAGTGATGTTTGTATTCTCATGTTCTTACCTGTGTAATATATGCATCATAGGCTTGGCCTTCCCAAACTGATGTTCTGATATAGCTTTGTTCAAACTGAGGTGCATTATCATTAATGTCCTGTAAGAATACTGTCACACCACACACTGCTGAAGCCATGCCATTTTCAGCTAAAACTGAAAAATGCACTTCCTTTCTGACTTCATAGTCAAGAAAGACAGGATGTTTTACTGTAATTTTACCTAAAGACAAAATACGTTATCTGCATCAGACTGTTACATGTGCAATGAAAATCATCCTCTCATTCCAATTTCTAAATTAGAAATTTTGAAAATGAAAAAAAAATATTCTGGCAATTTGGCAACAAGTTAGATTCTTGACATCTTTAATAAAATGGTTCTTACAAAAATTAATAGATAATAGTGAGGTATACCATCTGTTCTTATTGAAGTTAAGCAATAGAGCGATCAAAGATATGTAGAACATTTTGTCTTGTTTGTTGTTTGTTTGTTTGTTTGTTTACCACAAAGGTTATAGGGTCCCTTTCCTACAGCCTGAAAAAATATAAAGCAGGCCAACATGTAATCTTCTGAAAACCAGAATAGCAAAATTAAAATGTACATATTTGATTCTATATAAATAGAAATGTGTGCATCCTTGCAATTGATTTGAAGCATGTATGTCTTTTAAACCACATATAATTGAAATAAAAACAAAATCTCAATTCCAGAGAAGCACCCAGCTTAGAATGGGGGAAGCAGTTTCCTAACACTTTCCCCATGTGGTGGGATGCCAACTTGGTAGATTAATGTGGGTATTAGCCTTGAAAATACTGAGTTACAAGAAACAGTGCCAGAAAATTGGCTCTCTGTGTGTGGATCATAGAAAAGGTGTAAGAAGGCTATACAAAGAAAATTAGCTTTCCCTATAATGAAAGACAGAGACAATAACAGATTTTGAGAAAATAGATGTAGAAAACCAGTAACCTCCAAGATCAAATATGGCACAAATTCTTTGGACCAAAAAGACTTTTAAAGAGAACAGCTGTGGGTCACATCTTTACATTTGTCATTTATGCCTTTAAGTGAACTAAACCTGTGCTTTAAAGTCAGGCTATGTATCTTCCTGGTGAATTGCAAGATAACCTTTGCAAAATCAAAAGTGAACATGGGGGTGATTCAAACCTATACTATGAAGAAAGTCTACCATGTGGGCCATTTGATTTAAACTGAAAGAAGCAGAACTACAGAGACTTTATTGCCTTTAGAGAGCACTAATGGCCAATACAAAGCTTGTTTAGCCAGCTGCAATTTCAAGAAAATTCATATGTCACTGACAGATACTTAGGATAGACTATAGCCGTGATGGTGAACCTATGGCATGCGTGCCAGAGGTGGCACGGCGAGCCCCCTCTAGGTCACGTGCACCGTCGCCAACTGCTCTTCTGGTTTCCGGCACAACCAGCTGGTCTTTGCAGGTGCCAGACCGCTGAAGCACTTGAAAACAGCCAAACACCAGGCGGCTTTTGGCACAAAAAAATGGCTTGGAAACGGCCACAAAAATGCCCATAAAACAGGCGTGCATGTGCCAGCCAGATGGTCTTCAGGTTTCCAGTGGTCCGGGACGCGCATGCACACATGCGTTCTGGATTAGGCATTCTGTGCCAAAAAGCTTCGCCATCACTGGACTATAGGCTTCTGTGGTCATCTTAGCTACTTGCCCCGAGAATTCCCTTACATGGTGGCATTTCTTCATGACAGGCTGGATGCTGTAGCAGCAACAACAGCATGCACTATTTCCTAATCAGCAAGTATCCTAGTTAACAATTATTCAATTATGTTCCTGTTGGGCATATGCCAGTTTCCTAGCATTTTACTCCATTCAAAGCTGTATTGCACAGCATGATGATACAAGTAAATCAAGCCTCAAAATAATTTAAGCAAACCATCCCCACACAAATGAAACCTTGGGTGAATATGAAATATATCCTGATTACTCTGCCAACAAAAAGTCAGGCAGTATATAAACTATTTTACTTTGTTTTGTTTTATTTTTACTCTATTCTATTAGCTGAGGAGTTGTTGAAAACATCTTTTATAAATGTTCCCAAATGTGAACTTGATTTAGATTAAATAAGACAGTCATGTTAATAAAATAATTGATTATTAAAAACATACTTGGGGTTTAACTAAGCAGTAGATCTCTTTTTCCAAAGCCAGGAGGAAATTATGTTTTCAGCAGTCAGCTGGTATTCATTTAGTGTATAGCAACTTTGCTCATAAAATCTAGCCTGTTTCATCTTAAAATCTTTAAAACATTGTTTTGTTTCAGGTCATTTTCTTTTTGACTTCAGCATTTGGGTATAAGTTGAAATACAAAATATACTTTTAAATACAAAATACAATTCAATTCTCACAAATACAGAATAGATTTACATTCCTTTTTTCGATCAACCTGTGTAAAACGTTGATGTTAAATACCAAATCTGGAGGGCAAAAAATCCATCTTTACTCTGTTTAATTTGGTAAATAAAACTGATATGAAGCTCACAATCGCTGTACCCATATCAGAATAAATAAAATCTTAGATTTTTTTTTAAAAAAAACACATTATTGGAAAAAATATTTCTCATCAGTACAATTAACGGGCTAACTGGAGAATAAACAAACCTAACTTTGAATGAAGAAGTGATATACATAATGTGTACCAGGGGTGGAT